TATTACGGCACTTTTGTTTGTGTGTGTGGGACTGGGGAAGAGGTGTGTTTACACACACACACACACACACACATACGCCTACACACAGTTTAGTTTTGTGTTAAGTTATTAGGCAACGGAGAGAAGTTTGAAGAATATTTTTAAAATCAATTTGTTTGTTTGTTGTTGTTTTTTCCTTTTTTTTTTTTTTTCCTTTTTTTTGCTTGCGCATAAAAATGTCTTCAACGCCTGAACGTAAAGGGCGGGGTAATGCCGCCAGGCCATCACGGAAGTCACCCCGAATCCAGCGGCAACCACCACCACCACCACCACCAGCACCAGCACCAGCATCACCATCGTCATCATCGTCGTCACAAGTGAAGGGAAAGGGGGAGCAACAGAAGCGTTTTTCCTCGTCTGCAAGGTCGTCGCACATGACGCCGCATCGAAATGGTCGCGACAGTAAAACACCGACTGTCTCCTCACGGACCGGAATATTGAAGCGCTCCCCGCCGCTCCAGTGGGAGTCTTCCGCCCCCAGTCGCTCCCCGATGTCAAGTAGAGGTATATTCTTCAACGAACATCAGCGAATAGGCTCCTCCATCGCGAATACCGTAGGCGGCCCTAAAAAAAGCAACCCCCACGTTAACCACGCCGGCAGTCCAAATGCGACGACAGTGTCCCGATCCTTGTACGAAGTGAGCCCTCTTCTTGGAACAATAAACTCGGATAATTTGGCGGTATCGAAGGATGTCGTCACCCCAAGTTCCCGTCCCGTTGAGCCTGGGAGCGTGAGCGTCGTCGTGCGTATTCGACCACAGTTTTCAAGGAAAACGGCGCAGCCCTGTTGCCGTGTTCTCGGTGCTCCCGGTATTGTGGAATACACGGTGTCAATGAGGGAGCCCAGTGCTTTGGGGAATGGCGTCCAGATGTCCTCTTCCTCTGCTGTATTTAGCCGGCAACTTGCCACCGGGGCAGCATCGCAGGAAACACGAAAAATTCTCTTCTCCTTTGATGCCACTCTTGGCGAGTCCGCTAATCAGGCCGATACGATGGCGTGCGTTGGAACGAAAATGCTGCAGTACCTTCTTAATGGATACAATGCCACCATCTTATGTTATGGCCAGAGTGGGAGCGGCAAGACGCACTCGATGCTTGGACCGGCTGGTGGCATTCCCGATCGTATTCAAAAGCGTGAGGACTTTGGCCTGGTTCCGCGCATGCTCGAGCAGCTCTTTACCCGCCTACAAGAAAAGTTTCCACGGGAGCAGGAGGGGGGTGAAAAACTTTCGCATGTGGTCCACCCCAATGCGGTGGGAGCGGATGGGGAGAATAAAGGGATGACAAAATCATTTTGGCAGCTGGAGATTGGTGTGTTGGAACTTTATCAAGAGGAATTGCGTGATTTGATGGCAGATAGCCCACCGCTGTTCTCCCCAAGCCGTGCGGATAGTCTCTTCAGCGTCTCTAACGGCGTTGGGACAGGCAGGACGTCTTTTGTACCGGAGTTTGACGAAGAAAACGGATCCGATGCACTGGATATTATGAAAACCGTGGATAAGAGCCCTAGTGCGTCCCGTTCTTTCCCAACGTTTACATCGCGCTTACGAAATATGCGGTCGGTACCACCCACGGCACGGGAATTAAAAATACGTGAGGATCCAGATTGGGGAGTTGTCGTGAGTGGTCTTTCATGGCACCCGGTGAATTCTTTTGAGGAAGCCATGCCGGTACTTCTGCGGGCTGAACGCATGCGTCGCGTGGAATCCACGGCGTTAAATGAACGAAGCAGTCGCTCGCACTTTTTTGTGTTTCTGTCCCTGCAACAGTGGGGCGTTGTGGCGACGAAGCAGTCGGGGGAGCGTTCAACGGCGGTTGTCAGCAACCGAACGCGTTCGCTGCTGACGCTTGTTGACCTGGCGGGCTCGGAGAGGGTTTCGGCGACAGGGGCGGAGGGACAGAGGTTAAAGGAGGCTCAAAACATCAATCTTTCCCTTTCACTATTGGGAAATGTCATTCGTAAGCTGACGGCGAATGAGCGGGAGAGGGGGCAATTTGCCCACATCCCCTATCGTGACTCTAAACTCACGCGCCTACTTCAGGAAAGCATAGGCGGCAACGCCTTTACCACACTCCTGTGCACGGTCTCACCGGACATAAGTGATGCGGCGGAAAGCCTCTCTACCTTGCAGTTTGCACAGCGGGCGAAAGGGCTATGTAACCGACCAGTTGTAAATCACACGGAAACGAAAGAGGATTTGAAGTCTAGGCTAAATGTTGCCCAAAGTCGGATCACATGGCTGGAAAACCAGCTGGCAATTCTTATGAATAAACCGACGGAGCACCAATCTGTAATGGAGCGGGAGGAAAAGAATGTGAATGCACGAGGAAATTCTGAGCTGGACATTTGCAAAATGAATGGGAATCCTGCGGGTCAGGCGAGCATGGGGCCGGCATGCATTGTACACCCCCCTATTTTCTACGACATACCGGGCGAGACGGAGGAAAGCAACTTTGACCTTCAATACATCCCGGGAACAGACATAGCTCAGATTTTACGGGATGAACTTTACAGAAGGGAAGAGGAGTATTCACGTGTGCAGAACGAACTTGACATGTATACACGGCTCCTACGGGAGGAACGGGAGGAACACGAACGGATGCATGCTTCCTTTCTTGAGGAACGTCGCCGGCGATTGGAGATGGAGAATCAGTTGCGGCGTGTGGCACCATCTGAGTATGGTTTTGCCTTTTCCAGAGACAACATGGAGGTTGAGGGTAATGGTGACGACCACGACAGAGTCGGGACGAGCTCAAGAGTTCTAATGCATCGGCATCCGGAGCGTGAAACCCGTTGCCGGACGCTGTGGCGACATCAAGTGACAGATTCTCCGTGGCATCGACCCCGTCTTGCCAGTGAAAGTCTTCATAGAATGCTCAACCTCATGCCGTTTATAGGTCAACAGCCTGGCAATGCGGTGGAGAGTATTAGTAGTCTTGGCCTGCCTGGCGGAGAATCCAAATCCCCCTCTTTTCTGCATACACCACCCGATGTCTCTTTAACCTGCTATTCCCCAGGAAGGCCAGAGGGAGAAGAAGAAGAAGAAGAAGAAGGCCGTAGTGACGCAGAGAACGCGTTTCGAGATTCAACACACACAATCATGATGGATTCGTCATCTATGGTGGGGATGCTGATGCAGTATGGCGTAGACGATATGATTCAATCATAACGCATTCCACAACCGTACACACGCACGGAGAGAGCGCGAGGAGAAGAAACAAACAAACAAACAAACAAAAAGTAATGTTTAATTCTATTTTTATCTCTATATATGTAAAGATGTTTATATTATTTAATGACTTTTACCTCCACCCCTTTTTTTTTCCCTTTCCCCATACATACATACATACTTACACGCACAAAAGGAAAAGAGAGAAAGAGAGAGAGAAAAAAATAAAAATAAAAATAAAAAGGGACTAAAATGAAAACGACTTTTTTTTCTTGGGGGTGATGGTGGTGGGAAAAAAAAAAAATATATTTATATAAGAGGAGGAGGGTGAAAGAGAGACGGTGAGAAAGATGAGAGGATGTCATGTTTTACATAAAAGAAGCAAACGAAGCGTGATGGAAGGATTGAAACACGCATCAAAATAATAATCATAATAAAGAAGAGGAGCGGTGGTGGTAGTACTATTCGTAGTAGTAGTAGTAGTGGTAGTGGTGATGGTGGTGATGGTGTATTTGGCGCAAAAGGAGGATATATATATATATATATGTAGATGTCATGTAATGTGTGAGGAGAGCTGGACAATACATACTTGTATTATCATTATTTATTTATTTATTATTATTATTATTTATTAGTGGTAGTAGTAGTGGTGGTAGTATTCATACGCTCGGTAAGTGTTGTTAATAGTTTACGTGGTTGCTTGCTTGTGTGTGTGTGTGTGTGGTTGCTGTTTTGTTTTCCATGACAGGGTTGTCTTTATTTTTGCTTATCATTTTCCTTATGTCTGTCTTTATTATTATAGACATGTCTCTTTTCTTTGTTTGTTTGTTTGTTTGTTTTTCTTTTTTTTTTTTTTCTTTTTTTTTCTTTGCGTATGTAATTTCTTCCCCTCCCCCTCCCCCCAATCTTCCATCATAACGGCGTTGAGCCCAAAATAACATGTATACATGACATGTGTACGAATAAACATAATGTTACGTCTTGGGCCGTGTGAATGAGTGAAGGATTGTGTGTGTATATTTATTATTTTAGTGTCTGCATGGGGAATGATTATTATTATTATTATTATTATTATTATTTATTCCCGGCTTCTCTGTAAATGTGTTTTTTTGTTTTTCCATGTCTCTCTCTCTCTCTCTCTTTGAGTGTATCTCTATCATTTGTTGTTGTTTTCCCCCCATTTTACTTCACACACGTATTCAATCACTCACACACAGAGACGGGCAGACGGACATGTGTTCTCTACCGGAGTCATGTAAGACTTCAAAAAGAGAGTGAAGGGGGAGGGAGGGGGGCGTATTGCTTTCTCTTATATCAATCTCCATCCATGTCACTTAGGGGATGGGACCCTTTTTGCCTATCCGTTTGTGTAACGACGGGAGGTTAATGGTGATGACATACGTGTGTGTCTCTCTCTCTCTGTGTGTGTGTGTGTGTGTGTACAAATATATAAATATATGTTTTTGTTTTTTTCTTTCTTTTTTTATTTCCCTGCGTGTGAATTAAAGAGGAGAAAGAAATAAAAGAGAGGGACGGCAGTAGGACACGCACACGGATGCCGGCACACTGCATGGACCCCACCACGAGTGGCTGTGATGGCAATGTGGCTGTGGAACCGAACACGTACGGTGGTGTGAGTGCCAACGGTCGCCACACGGCGGGGTGTCACCGCCATGACGCGACGAAGGCGAGTAGGAAAGAGACGCATTGTACTGCTTCTTTTATTTCTCATACGTCAGAGCGGCCAAAGACGGGGATGCATGAGGCGCGAGTGAGGTCTGGCGAAGACAGTTCTGCAGCACTGGTGTCTCCACAACCGCAGCCGCGTCCCTTTTCGAAGCCTATCATGACCACGCATGGCGCCATGAACTCAAATGGAAGAGGAAACCACGGTGTTGTGGAGAAGAACGGGACGCGGAGTCGCACGTATCCGCTGCATCGAACATTGAGCCTGCAGCAGAGACGGAAGAATTCAGCCGCCACATTAGAGGAGCGGGAGAATTGTCATGACGACACAACCCACAGTAGTTCATGGAAACGGAGACCCATGCTGACACCAACAAGGCGCCTTTATAGGAGTGCAACGACGCTGGTAACTGCCCTGCATAGCAGTTACACGGCAGGGAATGAGTCCCAATCGTGGCAACACACGCATCGTCGAGTACACTCCTTCACCTTCAATACGGCTCCCTCTATGCATCATATGAAAGCTACCGTAGATTCCTCGCCTGGGAAGAATGGAAGACAGTCACGGAGACAACACGAATTAGTTTGTTTGCCGCATCGACAGAGCAACGAAACGTTAGTTCGTCACGCAACTCCCATGACGAGAACTGCCACGGCACTCTCCCCATTATCCAAAAAGGCTGCACTTCGGCCTAAGCCAGATGCAAGGAATATGAATACCACCAAGAAACAAACAAATCATGACTCACCGGATAAGATGAGCCGGGTGTTGTTGCGGCCCCCTTCACTCAAGCCAACTTCACATGGAGGCTCTACGACGGCATCGGGCGGGAACACGGCGTCGTTGCAGCCGTGGTATGCGCGTCCCACTCGAAGTTCAGCACACTCCTTTACCACCACACAACCTCGTGAACGATCCGTGGCGACGAAAGCATCATCCACCCTTACAGGAAAGATAGAACCGGCTGTCAGGATGGCCTCCGCACCGTGTTTTCCAAAATCCACGAAGGCGACGCGTCGAACACACAGCAGTGACTCCCTCTTGGGAAATCAGAAGCGCACATTTTCGTCCTTTTTGAACATTGCCAGTGATTCAATACGTCAGAAAACGGCTGTAAAACCCGCACTGTGGAAGCGGAGTCCTTCTGGCATTGGTGGTACGAGTAATGGTAGGGGTATTATTGGAGCTTTTTGTAAGGTTTCTGTTCAAAATAACCGAAAAAAAACATTATCCACGCCAAAATCAATTTATAAGCCTGCTGCTGTACGACGAACCGGGGAAGTTTCCGCCATTCGAGTTTTTGCCTCGCCATTTTTGAGGTCTGCTTTTCGTGGCAACGACCCCATGAGGCGTAATTCGCTCATTCCCTCGAGTGCACACAAGGAAGAGGACGAGTCACGACGGAAACCGAATGGAATTGTGGATGGGCACGATGCGTTGAGTAAAAACGGCACTTCGCAGAGTAAACCGGCTCTCAGGGCGGCGTCAATGACGATACGTGCAACGAATAGTACGCTCTGTAAAGAGGCATTCACGCGAGAGAAGGAGCGTCAACAGATTAGGCAGAAACATGAACAATTGGCAGCAGAAGTGCGGCATTTGCCACGGGCGTTGTGGTTGGCGACGCGGCGGGAACTGGGGCGTTTGGCGGAGATCCGTTCAAAGCGCACCAGCGGCGTTGTGGTGGATGGTGACGTCATGACACCCCGTACGCCAACGATGCATGTCTTTGATGACTCTCATGGCGACAAGGAGGGGAATGCGAGAGAGATGCAGCGGCAGCGGCATGATGCCTCGAAGGCCGCAGTCGGAACGCAGCAGCCCAATTGTTTAGAAGTTCCCACAGAGAGAGGCAAGCAATTTCAAGACCATATGTGTGGCATGCATTTAAATCATGAGATGAGGGGAAATGGGCTTAACTCGCCATACCGTGGACCGATGCGACTTGCCTCTGGAAGGCAACAAGGCACCCACTTTCTATTCTCTCCGGATTGCCGCCAACGTTTCACCGCCGGGAATGATAATGATGTGGAGGTGGAACACAAGGGGGAGGTGTTGTTATCATCGACTCTGATGCTTCGAGGAGATGTAGAAGGAAGAGAAGGCGACGGTGACAACAATCATTGCCGTCAATGCCGCAATGGTGGTGGTGGTGGTGGTTGTGGTAGGGGAAATGACAACAACAACAGGAGCGGGGAGGGAGGGATGCTGATGGAGAGCAGTAGTCATGGAAGTGATTGCTCCCCTTCCATACGACCTCCGAGTGAAATTTTTGATTACATCCCTTCACCACCTTCCGCCTCTGCGCCGCAGCCGCTCAACGGAGACTCGATCGACTCGGACTTTGACTCCCCCCTCGTCGTACCACCGCCAAATAAACGCTCACCGTTGCCTGCGACACGCCGTCCACGTGGGCGGGAAAAAAAGACACCTGAGCTAAACTTTCACCGCACACGCAGTTCTCTCCACCTTTCCCACTCCGTGACACCCAACCGGCGGCAACTCCAACAAGACTCTCGATTCAATTCCAATATGTTGCATGCATCGCGAGGGGGTAGTATCTTACATGCGTACAACCAATTAAAAAAGAATACTAAAGCTGTTGGTCGCAGTATGAGAGGGGATGGGACAGTGGTACTTACCTCCGATATGCTAGTTGCGTTGTATGCCACCATTCATGGGACAGCGGAATTAAGCCGTGGCAACAACATCACACGGTCATACCGTACACACTCGATGAACAACACCCGCAGTGACAGTCTTACGGGCCATTTGGCTCAACGGCGCGGAAGACGCCGTCTCCAGGATTTCCGCATGGTGAGAACACTTTCGTATTCTGAGAACAAGAAGACAAGAGCCGTGGGAGGGAGTTTTTGAACACCGAGTGCATGTTAAAGAGCATCCGTGCCATCTTAATCATGGCGGAAGTTGCGTGGATGAAGCGTCCTTTTGAGGTGGTGGTGCACCGGAAGTCTTTGAAAGGAGAATGGCAGGAGAGTTGCAGCAGGCAATAGAGGGTTTTTTTTCTCTCCCTCTCTCTTTCACTTTGTGTGGGTTGGGCCGGCAAAGAGAACCTCGCCTCCCACACACAAATACACACACAGACACACTGTGTTTCTCCGTTTCATTTATTTATTCACGTTTGCAGTTTTAAAAAACGAAAAAAAAAAAAAACGAATAGCGAATTTAACAGTGGAGGTAGCAATAAAGCGCCCCATGGCACCAGGCTGAGTGAATGATGATCGTTGTATATTTCTTTGGGGATGTGGATGGTGTTTTTTTTTTTTTTGCATACAGGCACAGTTAGATAGATAGATTGAAGCGACGAGAACGCGAGTGAGAAAGAAAGGGGAGAAATATCTATTTACGTACGTATGTTTATATGCCTGCTGTCAGTGTTGTCCATCCCGTTGTTCTTTAACGTGTTGCACTCCCCCTTCCCTCCTCCTTTTCTTTTTTCCCCTCCATTTTTGCTTGGCTGTAGTCGCGTACGCCATACAAGCGGTATTATTGTTATTATTGACAGTATTAGTAGTATTTTAATCCCTTTTGTTATTTACACCCGAGAAGTGTGCGTGTGATTTCCCGACAACCCAGTCATCATCATCCGCAGCAGCAGCAGCCTTATCCAGAGTAATAAGCCGTGTGTCCCCATGCTCGCCAGTGTGCTTCGCCGTGGCGGCCATGAAGCGTCGTCCAGCGCGTCGCATCACATCATTGCGCCTGTTGCCGCCCTTGAACGTGCTGCGCCGTACACACGCTTCAACACTCTCCGGATGCATGCCCATCGCGAGGGCAACTTTCGTGCGCGGCCTGCCGGTTGGCGCGCGTGGAGGGACCCGGCACTGCAGGACCCGTATGCGCCCTTCGTGATGCAGTCGCCCACCCGCCACGTGGACCGGCAAGGTGCGGGCATGTGGTTTGGTATGGGGCACTTTGCCATGAAGAATTTCTTTGGTATTTTGCACTGGCGCCTTGCGATGCGGTTGTCCATCTGGGGCATATTAGGATTCGTCATCCCCGGCGCCACGTACGCACTCCGCATGCATCGCAAAGGATGGGAGTGGAAGAATCGCGGTGC